TGAGAGAGAGGAGTTGGAGAGTGAGTGTTTAATTAAAGGTTTGATTGGAGGGAAAATAGAGTAGATTTCGGAAAAAGGGGCTATCATTAGGAAATGAGTAATCACGTGACATGCACATGTGGGAAAGCACGTGGTCAACGCCGGAAAATAAAATATCCGTCAATGTCGGAAAGTGGGACTTGGTTGTCTTGAACAAAAAAAAAATTAACTGGTTTCTCCTAGTCAAAATTTTTTTAAAAGGTTTTTCTAAACAAAAAGGTCAATTTAAAAGGTTTTTCTGAACAAATTTCTCATATAAAAATGTACCATCATTTGATTTCTTCTTTTATTCAATATTGTAACATAAATTCTTAAAAAAATTAGTCTAATAATCTTATCATAGAGAGATATTTATATACTTTGCATACCCAAAAAAAATAACTACATATTAGTCTAATAATTTTTCAGAAGCGACCCTTTATTATCTGTAAATTAACTTTGGTTACCTCATTTCACTGACATTTATTGCATTCAATATAATATGTAGTATGTAGTTGTAGGGAATAGTTTCAAGCCTTTAAAAATCCCACTAGCTTGAACCCCACTGTGATCATACACTAAAGTACGGTGGCGTCCAAAAGGGAAGAAGATAGAGCAAAAGAGTCGCCAACAAGTTTTTAAGGAACTTGTAAACCGTTCACGAGGTGAAGGTTACACCCCTTAACGATCCAAGAAATCGTCAACTCCATAAGGTCATGAACCAAATAAGGGTTCGAGGATGAAGGTACAAATCCAACCTAAAAGAGATTGAACCTGCCCTAATAATAGGCCTCTACTTTATTCTGATCGTATTCATGTGCGCTTTCTGATTAACATACAATCAATAGGATTAACCCTAAACCTGTTTAATCTATGTTGGTTGAATTTAATGCACAAATAAACTATTATTGGCGATCACTTGAAATTATAATCACAATTAACCCTAAAAAGATTATTAATATCTTATTAAGCGTGGTTGCAAATACCAATTCCCTTTAACATGCAATAAAAGGTGATCAAGCAATAACAATATAAAATAATATGCATATCAAGCAACATAATAAATAATCACAAATATTAGAAAGAACATAGGAAGCATCATACTTTATCATACTTAATATTAAAGATACCCTAGACATGATACTAGGAATCATAAATAACAATCTAAGCATGATATCTACATCATGAAATCAATTAAACCATTAAAGTACTTACTTGGATGCCTCGTACCTCTTTCTAATAACAAAATACACACGTTAGTAACTTCAAGGAAAATAATAATCAAAACAATTAAATTAAATAATTGAAAGAGAGATTTGAGACCAAACCCTCAGAAATTAAAACCTTTCACGTCTAGGGCGAAGGCAACTTCGAATATGGCTAGGTGTTTCTAGATCTTGTGAATGCGGAATTTTGTATTAAAGCAAGAAAGAAAAGAAAGAAGAGAATGTTGATGAAAGTTGATGAAAAGAGATGAATGAAAAGGATTATTTGACTGTAGATAAATGCTAATTGGTGAATGATGAAGATAGTTGATGAAGACTTAAGAATAAAGAGAATTGGTGGATGATAGATGTAGATGATCCATGAAAACGGAGTTTCTGATACGATATTTATAGAGAAAATCATCCAAAAAAGATAATTTATCAAAATAGAGTCTGAAGACCGCAAAAACACATTGGCGCCAGCCCTGGCTCATTGGCGCCAGGACCAGTGGCTAGCGCCAGGCGCCAATGGCTGGCGTCTGGCTCCAATCCTGATTCCAGGCGCCAAGGCCTGGGGTTGGACGCCAAATTGGATTTCAACGCGTTTTCGAAAATCCGATAAATTTCCCGTACTGGAAGATAAAATAATATAATTTCAGTCGAAAATGCTATTCGATCTTGATTAAAACTCTGAAGAATCCTAATTGAATTAAGAATGATAAAAACCTTCTAGAATGTTCTAGAAGACAAAAACCATTCCTAATTGCATTAGGAATGATAAATCATATTAGGCCCTCCCCTAGATCATTGAGCCGTACTTAAAGCTCAAACCGGGCCCAGTTTAGTAAATTGGCCATAAATTCCTCAATATTCATCGGAACTGGGTTTATAATATATCGTTGGAAAGGTCTTTGCAAGCCCCATCCAACTACACAACTATTGGACCCATATCATGGACCAACCAAACTGGATTGACTGTTTTCTTAAAATAAAGTTTTCAAAAACAGAAAAAAGAAAAAAAAAATTAAACTTTCCGCAATACTAGACCTTTCCACACTTTCGTTTCATTCGATTATGATTCGACGTGAAAGACACTCATCACTGCGTTTGGTTTTGTGGAGACACAAATGGGTGTCTACAGTAGTTATTGACCACCAATATTTTTTTTTTGAAAAACCGCAAAAGGTGCCTTATATTGATAAGTTATCCATCAAAACATAGGAAGAAACCTCACAAGCTAAGGGTAATGGTTCTACCACACTTGTTCTACACCAAAGGGCATTAAACAGACTAAATTATGAGCAATAACATTATCGTCACTACAAGAATGAAGCTGTATTCCGATGGACAAAATCCATCGGAAAAAATAACAAAAACCGTCGGAAACAAAATTACCAATGGAAGCCATCGGTAATTGTCCGTTGGAAGCCCATACATCGGTAATCCAGACTTTACCGATGGACAAGCCATCGGAAAAAAAATTACCGATGGGGAAACACATCGTGGAAAATTATATTTGCCGATGGTTTATTCCATCGGTAATAATTTCCGATGGCTAAAACCCATCGGAGTTTTTAATTTTCCGATAGTTTTTTTCCATCGGTTTTATTAAATCACCGATGGTTTTTAACCATCGGAATATTTCCAAAAATTACCGATGGCACTATAATCAACGGAAAATCTGAAAATTACCGATGGTGTCATCCATCGGTAAAAAAAATTATATTTATATATATACAAATTTTTCCGATGGCTATAAGCCATCGGTAAAAATAAAAAGCCATCGGTAATTGTTTTAGGTTTTTTTTTTAAAAAAAAAAATAGGTACTACTATTTATTGGCGATATTATCAAACCTGTTATGTACCATATTGAGAACCTGCATTTTAATGAAACCTGATCATGCATATAAAACTACAAAGTTGTACACCCAAAGAGTGCTTGGAAACATATATCTTAGTTGATGCATACACACTAAGTTCATAATACACTAAATATATAAAACAACCGAGTTCTTACTACCATACTAAGTCAAAAGGTCATGCTAATCTAAGTCAAAAGGTCAAGCTAATCTAGATACGAAACCCTATACACATGCTGCCCCTGAACTACCACATGCATCTGGTTCATCATCGCGATGTTGCCTAGGAAATGGGGGGGTATCAAAGTTGTGGGACCCATACTGCAACATCCCTCTTATAATTTCCTCAAGCAAAAACTCTTGTCTCTTCTCCATTTCTGCTCGTTCGGAGGCCAAAGCTTTCTCCACTTGTGCCTGAACCTGTGCCTGTACTCGTGCCTCCACCTCATTCTACACTTGTGTCTGGAACTCGGCTTGGAATTGAGTTTGCATTGCTTGCACCCTCTCTTCAAATTGTGTCTGTAACTAAGACACAATGGACGGTGTGTATGATTGGGAAGCACCACGTCGTGCTGGAGTGCCATAGTACAAGTGATCACTCTGACCTAGTCCTTTCACATAACCCCTGTTTCGGCCCCCAGCTGCCTCAAAGTACGCCCGGTTGGGATCACAAGCCACACCCTGACTACTTGATTCATCCATTCTTTTCTTGAAACGTTCCTGCAATTAACATGTTTGCTTATATTAAAGGAACGAAATAACATGGTATACTAAACATCTAAGTTTTAAAAATTCATATAATTCACACTAGTTACAAATTTCTAACACTTCACATAACCATTATTTTGCATATTTAAGAGTTTTAAGGTACAATGTGCACAAAACTAGTTCAAAATGGACATATTTTGGTACTTGCTTTCCTATAATCCACATATTCATGGAAATGCTTGAATAAACACTTGAATAATGTCTTAAACATGTAGTTACAACTTTCTAATACTTCACATTACCATTATTTTACATATTTAAGAGTTTTAAGGTACAATGTGCACAAAACTAGTTCAAAATGGGCATATTTTGGTACTTGCTTTCCTATAATCCACATACTCATGCAAATGCTTGAATAAACACTTGAACTATGTATTAAACATGTAGTTACATTTCTAACACTTCACATAAACCATAATTCATAACATTTATGACTTTTAAATTAAGGAATTTTAAATTACCGCAATCTCCAAAGCTTTCTTACTAGCGGGAACTGTTCCTTTTCCAGGAACTTCTTTGAAGTGAGTGCTCAAGAAAAGTTCTCCCGCATGTGGCAAGGCACCTCCTTTAGACTTCGCCTATTAAACATAACAAACAGTACCATAGTATTGAAATCTGAAATTTTTTGGATTTGTAATTATGTAATTAAATTAAGCTAAAACTGATTCTGTCCATACCATCTTCTTTGCATGTTGGGAAGCAGATATCGAACCTTGGAAGTGCGACGGTTCAATTTCATTAGACAGGGAACCGCCCCTCCTATTCTTCTTGTTCTGCTCTGATCTAGCCATGAATTCTTGATTGGTGTTGGGAACATCCATCATTGTCTTGTGTGCTTCTTCATTCATCCATTTTGGCTTCTTACCGTTCATTCTTTTGCTGCTTAGAAAGATCAAAGGTGTTTGCCCCAACATCCAACAATTGCTTAAGTTATTCAATCAGTGGTTGCATATAGACATCCAAGTTTCCCTTTGGGTTTTTAGGACCGGGAACAAGCAGAGACAAAAACATGAATTGTCTTTTCATGAACATTGAAGGAGGCAAGTTATATGGTGTCAATATCACTGGCCAACAGGAATATTGTTCTCCAAACTTACCGTGAGGAGAAAATCCGTCGGTGCACAATCCAAGTCTCACATTTCTAGGTTCTTAGGCGAATTCTGGAAAGGTCTTGTCCAAGTGTTTCCAAGCATCACTATCAGAAGGATGAGCCATTGTGTTTGCAACTCTAGGATTATTGGCGTGCCATGTCATTTCCGCTGAAATGTTCTTTGTTGCAAACAACCTTTGCAACCTCGGTGTAATCGGGAAATAAATAAGCACTTTCAAGGGCACTAAACTTCCTTTTGAAGTCTTGCTATACCTTTCGCTACCACACACTCTGCAGTTGGACAAGTTCACGTCATCCTTCCAAAACAACATGCAACCTTTTGGACAGGCATGTATCTTCTCATGAGGAAGCTCTAACCCGTTAACTACTTTCTTAACCTCGTAGAATGTCTCTCCCATGTTGTTATTGTCAAGAATTGCTTCATTCATCAAAGAAGCAAATCCATCCACACACCTGTGAGGAAAATTGTACTCACACTTCAAACTTGTGATTCTAGATGCAATTTCCAAAACAGACATGGAACTCCCTTCATGTAAAGGACGCTCAGATTCCTCCAACAAATTAAGGAATTTCTTAGCTTGAGGATTTGCCTCTTCCTCCTCAAAATGACTCTCTTCTCCACCACCCATGTTAGGTGGGTCATTCCCAAGGGCATCCATAATCATGTCACGAAATGGATTAGGTTGGGGAGGTGGGATGATTGGAAACCCTTCACCTTGACACAACCATTCATGGTAGTCCTCCACAAAACCCTTTCTATATAAGTGCACTTTAACCGTCTCAGAATCATGTAGCTGAAGATTCTGACATTTGACACAAGGGCACCTAACCTCATCAACTTTACTGCTCTCTGGATGATCTTTACAAAACTGAATGAATTCATCAACCCCTTTCACAAACTCCGTTCTAATGTTGCGGTCATCCAACCTTTCATACATCCAGCTACGTATTCGTTTCATGATTGCAATTCTACAAATCTCACCCAAATGACCACAATATTCAATCTAAATAAAATAATCATGTTGTTTGAACAAGTAAAGTAAGCAATAAGGTTATGAATGACATCGTAGGGTCCTTATCTTTCCAACCTAACCCATCCTTGGACGTGTAATCCCACTAGTAATTGTATGCCAAGTTTTCAATTCCATGGAAAATTCGGCAGCATTTCCCTACAGTTCTCCAAGTACACAATATGATTAGTTATGTATACTTATATGTGTATCTAGAGAACAGATTAGGAAAACACATAGCCAAAATTTTCCATAGAATCAATAACAAGGCATACAATAACCACCTAAGTGAGAATGAACGTCCAAGAACAGTCCTAACCGGGGACTATTCAAGACATACACCTAATGTGTATGTCTTGAACGGGTATCTAGGCAAATGATGATGCAATTGTTGAATCAAAATTGAGACAAGTACATGAAGATCAAGAAACAAAATTATAGACATTAACATCATTATCCACATAACATTGCATAAAAAAGTAACACATAAAAATAATTAAAAGAAAAATCCACAAAATGTGCAATTAATTCACAACAAAATCCATAATCAATCAAGCTAGAAACATATAAATTTTTGGTTTTTTAATTTATGAAACATGAAGCAAATAGGTGTATTTAAACATCCAACTAACAAGCTCCTAACACATTATTATATTTTACTTAACAAGTTCAGTACTAAAAAAACTATGTTATTATCATATAGCATAACTAAATAATTAACACATATAAACTAGTACAACCAAATTTAAGGAATTTAACTCAAAAAAAGTTAGGGTTTTGACATCAAAAATTGAAAATTAAACAAATTACTCATCTATGGAAGGAGATCGTCGGTATACTTGCTACTAGGTTGTCGAATCTGTAAAGATTTATGATCCGTCGGTAAATAATTGAGTGAAAAAAATAATGTTTAATTAACAAAAAAAAAAAAAATTGACACTTACCATGTACAACCGGCCGACGACCGGAGGAACAGGACCCGGCGAAGACTCCGACGGTGCTACCGGTGATGATGCGCCGGAACAGGAACAACCGCCTTCACTAAAACCCTTCGCCGTCGCCCTGCACTCTCTCTCTCTCCTTTGGGTCGAACTTTGAAAAAATAGATCTAAAACCTGAAACTAAGTCGTGGTTTTTTTAAAAAAATATCAGCATATTACCGATGGTTTACCAATGGTAATGGCCATCGGAAAAAAAAAATTAAATTACCGATGCCTATAACCATCGGTAAAAAACTGAGTGTTTTATTTTTTTTTTAAGAAAATTCTACGACGAAAGAAAACCATTGGTAATAAATTCCCGATGGTTTAGCCATCGGTTGACCATCGGTAAATTTAGTAATTTCCGATAGTCACGTAAACCATCGGAAATTGAAGGTATTACCGATGGAATTTAATAGCCAACGGTAATTGCCATCGGTATTTCATCAATTTCTAGTAGTGCGTCCCGTTTAACGTGACACCAAGTAATAAAATTAAACAAAGTAGAAGAAGATAAAATATCATCTAATTAAAATTGCATCAAGGTCAGTGAAGAAGATCGATACTTTGGAAGGGCGAATGATGAGGACTTGATTTTCGACCCGATGATGACATCAGTTAAGCCATAACGTTGAGCAAGTTTGATGGCAAATACAGCTGCCTTGCCTTCAACAATTATCGAAGGCCAATGGGCTCTTAAACTTCTAGAAGCAGAAAAGTGGATGTCGCCATTCCAGTCCCTAGCAATCACCGTAAGTCTTATTCATCCATCGTCGCACATGGAAGCATCACAATTAATCTTGACCACTCCTTCTGGTGGCGCTTTCTAGACCTTTGAGCTGCGGCAAACACTCTTTTAGACCCCTCCATAAACCCTCTTCATGTAAGAATTACAGTCAGTAGCAAGTCGATAGGTATGCTCCAAGATAACAGGATGATATACTTCCTTCCCATTGAAAATCATCTTGTTTCTCCTACTCCATAAGTTCCACATCAAAATCGCACCCCTACCCACCTTCTTTGCATCAAAATTACTCTATGAATTAATAAAATGTAAAAAAAGACATACCAGTTGATGGCCAAAAAGATATCTCCACGCAGTCACATTCCACCCAAAGATCAAGAACAATATGGCAATCAAATAGCGCATGTTGGACGGTTTTTGGACAGCTAATACACCAAGGACAGTCAATTAAATCGGTCATATGCCTGTAGTTGAGATAGGCTCTCACAAGGACAGAATGAGTGTATGTTCCAGTGCACACACGCCCCAAAAAGTGGCGAATCTTTGGGGTACCTTCCATCTTCCAAATGTCCATCCAGGCTTTATGAATGAGCTCTAGATTACATGACTTGTCGAGCATATATGCTAATTTGACAAAGTTGCTTCCATCATTCGAGAACTCCCACTAATAGAATTCGATATTGCTTTAGAGCACAAGGGGATAACAAGAATGTTTCGAACATCATAAGCATTGAAAATGAACATCCCATTGGCGGTTCTCATGGTTAATCAAGTCACTCAAACAAGCCGCCATATCAGAATGTGGGGTGGTAATGAACCTACTTTCTCCATTGTCGACCCAAGGGTCGTGCCATATATTCACCAAAGTCCCATTTCGGCATTTACTATCCTCCATAATGGGCCCTCCTTGAATAAAGCCTTAGACCATATGCTACGCCAAGAAAAGCTACCTACATATTCTTAGTTTGCTTCCAGAATACTCTTCTTCGCAGACATTACTTAATTTAAAAGAGAATTTGGGTTACTAGTGAGCCTCCAAGCTTGTCGACTTAAGAGAGCATCATCGAAGACCCTAAAATCTCAAAAACCCATACCCCCAAGGCATTTAGGAGTACATAGATCCTTCAACTTTTCCAATGCACCCTCTTTTTGTTCTTTTCTTGACCCCACCAAAAACGAGCCACCATAGTATGAATCTCATTGATCGACCTCGTCGAAATTTTGTACACCCCCATAATAAAAGTAGGTTTGGTTTGAATGATGGATTTCAGCATAATGTCCTTCCCTGCTCTTGACAAAAAAAAAATTCCTGAAAGTTTAACTGGCTAATACAAGAGGGGGGGTGAATTGTATTTGAGATGAAATCTAAAAACTTTTTGCGGAATTTAACTAAATGAAATAATGACGAGAGAAGATATAGGCTTTTCTAAATTTCCACTATGTAATCAAACTTTTTACAAGTGAAGATTCAAACCCGTTAACAAGTTCCACAAATTAGGAACTTGTTCCCAACTCTCACAGAAGCCTTCAGCAACGAAGCTTCCTTGACCTCACCTTACACAAACTCACAATCCCAAACCCCAAAGTGCTTCAATACAATCTGTAATTACAAATACCTATTACACTCAAGAATATATGAAGGAAAATAACTCTCTTTATGTTATTAGGTTGCTACTGGAATTTTTATGCTCAAGAGTTATGTTTTGCTGAGATAGTTTGCATGAGTATTTATAGAGAAGGCTTAGTCATTAACCTCCACTATAATCACGTCCACATGCCAACACCCCACTAACAACTTGTGGAGTTATCTTGACAAATGGTGATCATGAAGGAGGTTTCCTAGCCTTATCTCACTAATCCACTATCTCAACAACTTGATAAACATTAGCTTTGATAAAACCGTATAATCAGAGATTTTCACAACAAAGAAAACTGCTTGTTAACTTTATCAAAAGTTTGTTTAAAAAAATCTTATTTTAAAAAGGATTTTATTTGAAAAGATAAATTAATTATTTATATTAAAACAACTAGATAATTATCTTAGATAATTATCTTTATTCGAAAATAGATGACTAGATAAAACTTTTATAAATTCTCTTTTTCCTTAATAAATTATCTTTTAAAACTAACTTTTATTCCAGTAGTCTTTTTAATAACATAAGTCATTGTGTTCATTTCCGACTTTATATTATTGAGTGCTCACAATTAAAACTAGAACGTGAGATTTGCATGAGGATTTTTAGAGAATGCTACTCCGCATCCAAGTTCCTACTCCGGAACGAATTTTGCTTGAACCCTTTATTCACCAAAGACTCAAAAAGTTCATTAGTCGAGTTTGTCAATTTGTCCATCAAAACCAAAAGGCTCAACAAATTTCCCCTTTTTGATGATGACAAACATTAACAAACTTAGGTAAATAAAATCATCCAGGCATGCAACAAAAATTTAAAGCAAGACATGAAAACAAAAAAAAAGTAATTAAAGAACTTAGAAAAATACTAAAAAGTATTTATTTTAAAAAGACTGAGCAAAAGAAAAAAAAATTAACAAGGACTTAAAAAACTTAGATTACTAGGACTTTATTGAGTTAACTGAACTTAGCAAAAGTAAAGTTTGTACCTTCGATGTGTGAGTTCCTTGGTAAACACCTTAGCCGCCATGAAGTTTGTCTTTTCCCCCTTGGCATTATCAAAAGATTGAAAAAAAACATTTTGCTATACTCCCACTAGACTACGTAGGGAATAGTGAGCTCAAATAATGCAAGGCAAAAATAAGTTAGGTACTAAATTATCAGCAAACACACACAATCATATGAAAAATACGAGCCAAGTTCCCATAGACGAAAATCAAAAGCAGGAGAGAGTAGAAAAAGTTAAGCATTACAAACTGAAATCCAAATGAAACAAGCAAAAGCAAACGAAATTAAAAGTGACAAGTTCGAAATTGCAATTATGGGGAATAGGTAGGTTCATCAGCTGGGTTTATTGGGTCATTAGAAGCTTCCTCCACTTCTTCAAAAGCCACCCTGTTAATCGTCTCCAATATCTCCTGAGTGCTGTGCAGTATGTTCTTCTCAGCAGCATCAACCTTGTTCTCCATCCCAGTAAAACTAGTTGCCTGAGTGTCTGCCACAACCTGCACTTGGCGTTGAAGAGAAGTCAGCTGCTTTGCCATTCCAGCTTTGTGCTCACTATCTTTATCAGCTGCTCCATATCTGCTTTCAC